TCAGCGCTAGTGAATATGGGATGCGTTTGGTTGTGTGTGGTGGGTGACGAATGGAGGGGCAGAGGTACTGATGGGTGTCAGTAGGTTTGAATTATAAATCTTTGCTTATTTCTCAATTTGTTTCCCTCCTCGGTAGTTATTTGACATATAGTTAATTGATATTTGTTTGCCGACTCACACACTAGCTGCTACTTGTCAGTGTATGAGACTGACAGACGATATCAGATTTAGTGGACGAAATGTCTGTTTCTTGGTGTGTCATTTCGTCCCTTACTTGTTATACTTATTTCTCGTAACCTCACAACACTTTGATGAGATATTTGTCGCAGGAACGTATATTTACCTATTCATCATCACTGGTCGAATCGTCGTGTCATTTTTTTCCAGTCGTCATTGGTTGCACCCACACCCACACAACATTATCATTGGTCAACGATACTTTGGCCTTTGTTAGCTAAGGGGTTTATTGTGTTTTGATGTCAGTTATATCCTTTATATATCTATTATGTTTTTGCTGAATGTGAGTGTTCTGTTATTTTCCGTGTCTCGATAAAGAACCGGAATGGTCAGAAAAATTGACAAGCTCATGTTGTCTACACCGTATGAGTTACTTCCTTGCCCAATATACAACTTTTAAGTAATGCGTATCTCCAGTGTTATTTGGGATGTTACCGTTTATATTACTTCTTTGACTCATGTATATAAATATGAATTTCTAAAATTGATCTACATTGCCGGAAGACGTACAATATGCATATTAATTTCTAAAATGTATTTATCTTACCACAAGACATATGCTATATATCAATATCTAAAACGTATTTCATGACACATTGTAAACACATTGGTTTCATAAAAGGAGGATAGTCGATGACCTATCATTACTGCCCCTCTTTTCCCCCTATTCAACGTTGTTTTTCGACATATTATCACATAATCACATTAATTGTGTTTTGACATTTATACAGTTGTTTTACACATTCTATCAACCAGACATACCGCACAGTTTGATATGTCTATGTTTACATGCTTCTTCGGTGTCTGTAACACGCGGTTTTAAGATGATCAGAGCGTTAACATCATTGACATCTAAAAAAAGACATTTTGGGGGGCATATAAAAATGTGACATTAAGTTTATTGTAGTGGTAAAGACGTAAAAAAAATACAAGATATATTGACCAAAGTAGCATCGGAAGAAAGTGATATTTGTTATCTATAGCCATTAAACAATGGTTACGCTATTGCTCATAATACCCTTGACGTATTGTGAGGGATTCAAGGATAATATTCATCACAGTCGAGGTGAAATCGCTTCCTGAATGTTGCAAAATATCGTCTCGAGATGTTAAATAAAATCAGTTATACCAGTAGATAAGTCCATGGCGCCAGTTTTGTGATAACGTTATAGCTAAACGACGTCAACATAATTATGACGTCACACTAGAGGTGTGATTTGGCGTCAATATAAATGGGGATCTTTTAAAAATCGCTGACATGCCGCGGGGTTTACTTCCCTTTATTTCGAACAGCGACAGGACTGCGTAAAAACATTTTATGCACATAAGTGAATTTAACATGCCTCTATATGTCGTGTAAATAAATGGAATTAGATTGATAAAAAACTCACACTTCATATATTGTGAGGTTTCCTGGCCTGGAATACGTGAAAGAATAGACCTGCTGCATCCAGCTATGTCTCGTAAGAACGACTAATAACACACAACCCCAGCCACCTCCCTTCCCCTCTTGAAGAAAATGGTATTTTTTTTTCTTTGTGGCCTACTTTGAGAACATAGAAGAACCATGATAGCTATCTAGGCATCCGCCGTCACGAGTTACGTAACTTATTGCGAGGATATTTAACCCCCAAAAAAGCAAATGTGGATACTTTTTCATGAACAAGATTTTAAATATATTCATACAGAAACTTAAGTCATTATTTTAATTTACAGAAAACTTAACTTTTCAGATGTTCATCTTGTGAAGGCTTATTTTACCTCAAACGTATGTCGGTTTGGAACTGAAAGTTTGCAGCTTGTCGATACACATATTGATGATATCAAAGACATGTTAACGTATCTAAGTTAATATAATAACCAACGTGAAATTCTGCAATTTAGATGATAAAAGTATAAAACATTTAGATTTATGATTTTGTAAACTTGCTTTTGAAAATTAAAATTGCAGGTGACGATGGCCGTATTTATGCTGTACGAGGAACAAAAGTGTATAGGTTTCGGTCCGACGTCAATGGGGTTGAAAGAGGAAGATACATCAGAAGGGTGTTTCGTAGGGCTCCGAAAAACCCAGGCGCTATAGTCAAGGCTAGAAACCAGCGACTGTACTTCTTCAAAGGTGAGACAAATATTGGCTATTTGCTATGCTAGATCAAAACATTCCCTGCTGATAATATGCATAAATACCATCAGAATGTGACAAAAACATAATTTCTGATTTTTTTCTATCAATTAAAGCTTCCTTCTCAGAATCCTACGGAAGAGCAATAGGGCCATGTAGAGTAAGTAAGTCGAAATTTCGAGTTATCAACACGACAAAACGAAATTTAATTTTGTCTACATGGCCATATACTCTTCCGTAGAATCCATTTCAAAGTTATCTAAAAATCTTATTAGTGTAAGAGTAAAAACAACGTAAATGATATAGAAGGGTAGCAATACCTTCCTTGAAAAGCAACTCACACCTATCATGATAATTATAGTTTGTTTAAGGTAAAGGGTACCTTCGCGTCAATTATAACTAAATATTCTATTTTTAAAACATTAAAATTTCAAGCAAATGTAATTCTGTAAAATGCATTGCATCATGCGATTCGTTTCAAAAGACTTTTACAAATATTTCAAATTAATGACAATAACAATGATATAGTTTAACGTGTCGGTACTCTTTTCTCAGAATAGTTTCATTCGGTGACATATTATAGTTCTGTCATTATCCACACTATTGTTGTCATTGCTGTACATTTATGTATGCCTAGAATGATTTGTATGGGGTTTTACATATTTACAATGTGTGACAGTTCTTTTTTTACACCATTTTCAATTAACTTGAAATGTAGCATACTGAGAGTTACCTTATACTGTCATCACAACATGCAAATTGATTGACAATTAACAAATCATTAGGGTTATGAGAGATCCAAAAATTAAAGGAGAGAGAGTGCTCCCGTAAAGTAACGGCACAGACAAAATACGTATGTTTTTCCTGGGTGACTCAACATTATCGCCCTTCATATAATGCAATTATGCATCGTTTCGATAGGTCCTGTACTCATATAATTGTGAACTATAACCTAAAAAGCATATACATGTGTTATTCAAACAGTGGATATGCCAATCAAACTTTAAATATCAAAAATATTCTAATACCAATTCTTCAAAATCTAATGATGATGTTTTATACTAAGATAAAGCGTTTTGATTGCAGCTTACTTTAGCAGCTAACTAAAAATGTGTGTGTTTGTATATATTTATAATTAACTATAAACCACACTGTATTGTAGATAAGAGGTTTTGGCGATACACCCGAGGGCAGTTGGACAGCGGGTACCCAAAGGTTATCAAAGGCGAAAGCAATTGGTACAGGAATGTCAAGGCCGCTGTGCTCTGGCGCGACGGAAATGTTTATCTATTCAAGGTAATTCTGTATTCACATAATACATGGCCAATATGATATTGGTGGATAGTTTAGGGCAAATCGGATAAAGTAAATTAATTCATTTAATTTCAATTTAAAAATACAATTTTGTTTTTTAGAAATGCAGTTTACATTTCACCTTTTTATACGGTTTATGACGACTTTTTACACTACCAGACACTAACTTCGAAATGGTTGTTTACTCACCCGTTGCCTACCTATTATTTAGTTAGTTCCAACTTATTGATAAATCAGTCATGACTCGACGCTAAAACAAAACCGATTTGATGTGTTAAAGTGATGATTTTCGTTAAAATTTGTTTGCTTGTAGCTTTTTTGTTATGTTTATTTGTCATTTCTGTAAATTAACAAAACATTCGTATGTGTGCAATATGACAGGGTTCCGAGTATAGCGTTTGGACCGAAGGATACACCCAGCCACCACGAGGGTATCCCAGACCTGTATCCTCCTTTTTCCCAGGTGTACCGACAAATGTAGAGGCTGCCATCCGCTACAATCGCTATACCTATTTCTTCAAAGGACACAAGTACGTACAATTAAATTCTGTTCATACGACACTTAGTACTTTACATCAATGTATTTTAAATTGATATATCGAATGCAGTTTGAATATTGCCTATTATTTCAATGCCTTGAAATGTACATGAACATATGACTTTTGTATCGGTAATGCGATCCACGAGCAAGTAAAACTCTTTAATAATAATATCATTTTGTATTTTGAATTTAGTGTTCCATAGAAACGCCAAGTTAGCAAAATATTGATGTATTTAAATACTTTGGGCAGTTGGTCTCTCTATCTAATATTTTTTTTTGTTCAGAACAGATTCAATTATGATTTAGAAATGCTATGTACTGAAAAACATTTCTAGTCAACTATTTGCGCTTCTCCGGTAAAAACCTAATTTGCTAGGTGTTCATTTCGTTTTTTATTATACTGTGTTCTGATATTCCTTTCATGACGAATTTGCCCTCATTTTCTGAGCTAAAAGAAAAAGTCAGTTTAAATGCCGAGAAGATATTTCAGTATATAGCATATAAAGGAAGTTGTCCAGCTTTTAATATTCACTTCAGTGTTGAGTTTTCAGGAATAGAAGTGTGAATCATATAACATTGATATATAACCATTTAATTAAAATGAATCACAGGGATTGTCAGCTGTCAAGCCCACTCTTTATTAATTTAATTAATTTGCTTAAATTATTTTTCAGCTATTTCAAGGTAGACGATTACAGCCGACGAGTAGTGAGGGATTATCCTAAAAAGAAGGCTAGCGCGTGGTTAGGGTGCGGCACTCCTACCCCTAAATAAAGACGCATGGGCGTCAGTACATCATGAGTTTCTATTTTCAGCGCAAAACAGACATTTCGCAACGTATTACAATATAAAAGACCAATGGTGTGAACCATTTTGTCCCTTTTGACATTGTTCTTTCGCTTGTATGCTTTCACTTACCGGTATTCCCATAGAACAGGATAACTAAGTGTGTGCTCAAGATGGGTTTCAGTAGGCTTTCATTGTTGTTATTATTATGTTTGATTTTAATGGAAGGGAAAAACAGCTATTTCATGAAGTATTATGGCGGAAAAGAAGTCCATATAGGTTACAAATCGTCAAAGTTAAGTCTAACGGTATCTGACAATTGACATATCTCTACATTGTTCAGTAAATGTCGTAATATCGATGTGTTTGTGGT